CAGCCTTAACTGCTGAGCCAGCTCTCCATGCCCAGTTACTCTGAATTTCCATGGCTCTTACACTGCCACATCTCATTGAACTCCAACTTCCATGAGGGTGTTTGGTTCTTTGGTGTCTCCCTCTGCTCAGCCAGTTCTTAAACTTTGAGAGGGCACCATCTAGGCCCTGCTTGCCTATCTGGAGAGGAAGGATGAACTCTGGCAAGGGCAATGGGCTGGCAAGACTGGATCACATGAAGCTGGGGTTAGATAGGTGACCCAGATGCTTCTGGGACATGTGGAGACCAGCAGTAGCATGCAACAGCCCTCTGGTGTCAAGTTTAGCCATCTTGACCATGCAGAGGCAGGACCTGGCTACAAGTATTTGGTTTCCTCGCTCAGAAAAGCTGGTATTAAGTGGGATGGGTGCTCTTCCAGGCCGTGTGGGAGGTGTCACAGATTGGGAGAAACACCACACACACACACACACACACACACACACACACACACACACACACACACACACACACCCCTCCCTTGGTGGAGGAGGAGGGAGTGGCTAGTGGACAAAGGAAGCTCATTATCGAGCGTGATTTCCTGATCCCTTGCTTGTCTACATACTGGCTTAGTAGGCCTGTGGTAACTCTTTGGCTATACAATCGAACACACCATGGCCCTGCAGTATCAGGGTGACTGCTCTGTTGCTGACATGTCTTTCTCCCCTCATTGATTGTGAGTTCAGAGGTTATATAGCCTCCACGGTGCCCTTTTTCCTGGGCTGCCACACAGTAGGTGTTGAGTGTCTTTAATGTAGAACCTGAGTGCAGCAAGGGACCAGAGAGATTTTCCCTTTTGGAGGACAGCAACAGTGGGAAACCCTGCCAGACTGTGGTGGATGTGGGTGGGAGCATGTGAGTGGGTCTGTGGAGGAAAGTGATACATGTAAGGGTGTTGGGATGTACTATGTATCCTTATCTTCTGGGTCACTGGGGTGTGATCGTTGGCTAGGGCAGGGATCTGGGGTGTCTTAAGATTTGCACTGTTGTGATAAAAACACCACAGCCATGAGCAACTTGGGGAGGAAGGGGTCTATGTATCTTCCAGTCCATACCACAGTCCATCATCCAGGGAAGTCAAGGCAGAAACCTGGAGGCAGGAACCGAAGCAGAGGCCATGGAGGAGCTCTGTTTACTGCCTTGCTCCCCATGGCTTATGCAGTTTGTTTCCTTATAGCACCCAGGAACACACCACACAGTGAGTCCCTCTCACACCAGTCATCAATAAGGAAAATGTACCACTCAATCTAGTGGGGTACACTTCTCACCTGAGGCTCCCTCTTCCCAAATGACTCCAGCTTGTGTTAAACTGACCTAAAAACTAGTCATCCCATGGGGTATCTGGTCAGCATGGTGGGCTACTCTGGATACCAAGTCTGCTGAAACTGTGACAGAGAGCTGCTACCTAACATGTGGCTGACCATGTGTGTGGTAGCCGTGGTCTGCTCTCAGCATCTTGTGTAAACAAAAGGGATGCAATGGTTGACGGTGAGGGTTGAATCCAGCAACTCTGAACAGTCATCCTGTCATTACCATCCATTGTGAGTGTGAGTGTGGGAGAGCTGGATGCGACAAAGAGGGGCTAGGGAGAGATTTCCATAAACCCAGTGGTGGCCTGGACCATCATGGCACCTGCTACCTCCTTGGGGGGGGGGGGCTCGAAACAGGTAGGTCACACCATGTAGACCTTGTAATGCTGACCATGGAGGCTTTGTCCACAGACATGCTATGGCTGTCAGTGTGATGTAAGAACTACCACTCCTTGTAACTGCCCTGGGAGGTGATATTTTCCTCTGTGCAGAGGGAGTTGAGGTCTGGGTGGAGTAAGCAATGTGCTCGAGATGAGGCAGCTGATCTTTGGCAGACTTGGGACCCAAGGCCAGGTCTGTTTGCTCACAGCAGATAGGCACTTTGCAATGAGGCTGAGCTGCCTTTCTGTAGCAACTCAGTTAATTAAATAACTTCAAGGCCTTATTCCAGAACCACTGTTTTGCAGCTTTTCATCTTTCACTTCACTATCTCCAGTCATAAATATATATATACATATACACACTACCACACACATGTACTGCTACACAGAGAGACACATACATATTTCACTTATAAATGCATATTTATTTCTACAGTGTCCACTCTTCTTTCCCCCATCCACCCACATACCAGTACACCAACCTACATAACCATCCACCCATCCAGCCACCTATCAATCCATCCATCTACTTGCTCACCCATCTACCCACCCATCCACCTGTGCACCTACCCATCCACCTGTGCACCTGTCCATCCACCTGCGCACGTGTCCATCCACCTGCACACCTGTCCATCCACATGCGCACCTGCCTATCCACCTGTGCACCTGTCCATCCACCTGCACACCTGTCCATCCACATGCGCACCTGCCTATCCATCTGTGCACCTGTCCATCCACCTGTGCACCTGTCCATCCACCTGTGCACATGTCCATCCACCTGTGTACACATGTCCATCTACCTGTGTACACGTCCATCCATCTGTGAACCTGTCCATCCATCTGTGCACCTGTCCATCCACCTGTGCACATGTCCATCCACCTGTGCACATGTCCATCCACCTGTGCACATGTCCATCCACCTGTGCACATGTCCATCCACCTGTGCACATGTCTATCCACCTGCACACATGTCCATCCACCTACACATGTCCATTCACCTGCACACCTGTCCATCCACCTGTGCACATGTCCATCCACCTGTGTACACATGTCCATCTACCTGTGTACATGTCCATCCATCTGTGAACCTGTCCATCCATCTGTGCACCTGTCCATCCACCTGTACACCTGTCCATCCACCTGTGCACATGTCCATCCACCTGTGCACATGTCCATCCACCTGTGCACATGTCCATCCACCTGTGCACCTGTCCATCCACCTGTGCACATGTCCATCCACCTGTGCACATGTCCATCCACCTGCACACATGTCCATCCACCTGTGCACATGTCCATCCACCTGTGCACCTGTCCATCCACCTGTGCACATGTCCATCCACCTGTGCACATGTCCATCCACCTGCACACATGTCCATCCATCTGTGAACCTGTCCATCCATCTGTGCACCTGTCCATCCACCTGTGCACATGTCCATCCACCTGTGCACATGTCCATCCACCTGCGCACATGTCCATCCACCTACACATATGTCCATTCACCTGCACACCTGTCCATCCACCTGTGCACATGTCCATCCACCTGTGCACATGTCCATCCACCCATCTATTTAATTAGTTAACTTCCTATCCACCCCCCCCACCTATTTACTCATCCATCTACCAACTCGTCATGCATCTAACAGACATCTTTTTCAGGTTTCTCACCTTGCCCAGGACACCATTAAGTCCTGTGAATGCATCAGCAGTGACATAGCCCTTACTCTTTCATGGTCTGATGGGGATGCTACCCGAGTAAACAAACAATTAGGATACACAGTTATGAATCCTAGGCACTGAGGAAGGTGCTGTGGGAGGAGAGAAGATGGACAACTAGTCCTGTCCTGAACAGAGAAGCAGGACTGGCCCGGCATGGATTATTGAGCTATGGTGAGACCCCAGGGAAGGATTTTCTCAAAGAGAAGAAACAAATTTCAGGAGGCTCAGGGATGACAACCCAGTGAACTCATTCTTTCCTTAGCGAAAAGTCAATGATAGGAACCTGGACAAGGGAGCAGCTTCTCCTGTCACCAGCTGCTGTTTCCTGAGTTCTGCTGTAAGGCTCAGTCTTCCAGGCTCTGGTGCTTTGGGCTCTTGGTTCCAACGGACGTGGCAATGGCCATTCACTATGACTACAGAGGGTCTTGGTCTCCCTGGCCCTGGTGGTCTTCACGGCATGGCAGGTCGTATTTCTACCTGTAACTGACCTGTTACCTGATGTTGAGAATGTCTCTTCCTTTTCCCCAAGGCCACATGGGTCATTGCTGGTCACAGGGCTCAGACCCACTACGTCTAAGCCCTAGAGGCTGCTGGTCTCTGGGCACATGGCCCGCTCTACTCCAAAGAGCTCGGAGCAGCTCTGGCTGCAGCAGAGTTGAGAGGGAGCCCCAGGCCCATGCTGTGCGTTTCCCTGACAGTCCATGGCAGCATCTCTGTGTCATATTGCCACCAAGATCAAGGGAAATGTGTGCTAGCCTGACTTTAATTAACTTACGATCCCAGCCAATTTCATGTTAGCAGATCTGTTTGGATCTGGGCGTAATGGGCCATGTCATGCCTGAGAGATGGGGCAATGACTTATGCTGTGTCACTCACTGGCTCCTTGTGGAAATTATTAATAAATCAGTAATTCTATCTGTGATGATGTTATTGTGTCTTTATAAATATTTGATTTACCTTCAGGTGCTCACATTTTTTCCATCTTTGCCTGAAACTCAGCTGACTTGGCTCTCTGAGGCTCTGCTCAATAAATCAAGTTAACAGTGGGAAAAGTACTCTCTCTCTCTCTCTCTCTCTCTCTCTCTCTCTCTCTCTCTCTCTCTGACTCTCTGTGATTTGGCTCCAGGGTGGGGGTTTGGAGTCAAGCTGAGAAGACGCAGCTCTTTGGTGAGGAAGCTGAAAGACATCCTGTTTCGGAGAAGCAGAGTGTACCCCGGGACCTGTTGGCGTGTGCTTCCCTCCCTCAGATGAATGGCATTTGGGATCTCAAAGGGTTTCTGATGTTTTCCTTCCACAGAGAAATATTTTGTCCTTGCTACTGACACCTCCTTTGAAACCTAGGCTTTGATGGTGATTGTGTGGCTGGCTGAGTGAAAAGGACTCAGGGAATCAAAAGAGAGGCTGAGTCCCGGTCAACAATTTTTCTAGAAGAGTCCGAGTTCCAGCCAGGCCAAGATGCACAATGGCCGGGGGAAAAAATAACTACTTTTTTTATTTCTGCTTCTCAGGGTCCAACATGAACTAATTGTTATCATGATCTTTTTCTTTTTCTGTTTCAGGAAATTGCGGCTTATTTAATAACATTTGAGAAGCATGAAGAATGGCTAACCACATCCCCTAAGACAAGGTAACGTCCCGGCTCTCACAGTTTCCAACTCTGTATGGGGAGATTAGCTGCTTGATTTCTGTGCATTTCCAGATTCGGCCACTCAATGCAGGGTAACGAGTTGACAGTGCCATGTTGTGCTCAGTGGCCTGTGAAGGGGACGCTCATTAACTGGTCCAAGACGGAGGTAGTGAATGCAGTGGGAAGGGGTAGATGCTGGCAACAGCTGTTGGACATTTCGCAGGATGGCTCTAGGCTCCATCCCTCAGCCAGGCATTCAGAAACTTATCAGACAGGTGCAGGGCAGGGGCAGTTTATTTTGGGAAAGTGCCCACCTGCCATCAGTGGCATATACTTTTTAAAAAGGAAGACGAGCTTAACTGCTGCTTGGATCTCAGTGTGTTTTATACATCAATAAAGTCGGGTTACTCTTGATTGCTGGGAGAGAGAGCTCCCAAATCAGGAGCAATGGCTAAATATTACGCAGTAAATGTCCTTGAACCCACTCACTGCCACAAACACTTAACTTCTCCTGCCACCTGGGACTGGAGGAAATTGGTGAAAATATAACGGACCCGTGTCCTGCCCATGGAAGTGATGTTATTATCAGTGAAGGATGGTGAGCCTGGGATTTGGGGCTCCTTTTAAAGACAGCATCTTATTTCCTGCCCGACTCTTTAAGTTTTTATTTTTGATATGTTTCATGCTAAATCATCAGAGATCTGCAGCCACCCTCTTCCAATTGCCACGACGTTTCTATTAGCAGTGACAGGGCCAGGTACTTACGTTAGCCAGAAGGAGGCTTGCAGGGCGCTGACTACATGGCTGAGGCGAATAGGTGGAGTTCCCAGTCTGTAATCATGGACAAGCACCAAAGTCTTTGACATTGTCAGCTGGAACCAGGATCAGAGTGAGATGGGTTCTCGGCACCCTTGGTCCAGAGTTTGGCCCATCCATCCCCTCGGAGCTATGTTGGAATGGGTTCTGGCTTTTAGAACATTCCTTCACATGACAAGGTGCATTCATTTAGTTTCTTGTAGAACAAGTTAAGGAAACAAAGGCACATTTTGGCTCAAGGTTTGAGGTTAACAGTCCATCACGGCAAGGATGGTGGTGGCAGGAGGGTGAGGCCGCTGGGCCCTGGTGAGTCTTCAAGAAGCAGAGCGAGATGGATGCTGATGCTCAGCTCACTCCTTTTTATGCAGTACAGGACTCCAGCCCTTCGCATGATATCACCCACAGTTAGGGTGTGTCTTCCCGCCTCCATTAGCTTAATGTAGGAACTTGCTAAGAGACATACCCAGAAATTTTTCTCTTAGATGATTCTAGATTGTTAGGTTAATAATATTAGCCACCACACTCCTTGAATCCAAGCAGGAGGAAAGAGCTATTTATGAGACAGAGTGAAAGTCTCCAGAACATGGCGGCCATGCACGCACACACGCACGCACGCACGCATGCACACACGCACACTGTGCCAGCAGTAATTTAGACTGTTGAAAGGCTGGAGTTTTCCCTCACATTTCAGCCCAGATATTTGGGGGTCAATTGAGAAGAGGATGTAACTGCTGGTCATACTGGACTCTGACTTTTTGGAGTATAATGGATCAAGAGACTTCTTGTTATGAGGTATAGGGACGTGCGAAGCAAGAGAAGGAATTAAGGTCCCACGTTGACAGATTTGTATTTGAGGCTTGGTTCTGTAGCATTGTGAAAATACATTAAGCTCTTAAAAAGCACCACCTCTGTCTCTCCCTCTCTCTGTCTCTCTCTCTCTCTGTGTCTTTCTCTGTCTCTCTCTTCCTCTCTGTCTCTGTCTCTCCTTCCTTTCTCTCTGTCTCTTCATCTCTCTCTCCTTCCCTCTTCTTTCTTCCTTCCCTTTCTCAGTGATCCAAGTGTTATGGTTACAAGTATGTGCCACCATGCCCCGCCTCCCCCTTTTTTCTTCTTTATTAGAAAGTAGAGCTTCCGTCCTGTCTGTCTTTCCTGAGTCATTAAGAGCGTCACAGGGGAGATAACAACTATGACCCTGCTTTGCAGGTGTGAGTGTCTGTGTCTGTCACAGGCTATCACTGCCCTTGTCTGTGAGTGGATTCCCCCAGCCCACTGGAGGCCTGGACCTCGGAGGCATCGACAGGATTTCCTTCAGGCTCTGGGAGTCTAACTTCTTTACTCCAGGCACAGTGAACATGTGGACTCCTGTTACATTCTCATACATGCTCCGTGTTTACGCTTGAAAGCTTCTGGTCCCAGGAGGACAAGTTGCCCTGGTTGTTCAAGGACCTTCCTAAATTAGTTGTTGAGTTGAGTTTGGATTCCCCTCCCCCACCATTTCCAGTATTCAAATTAATTGGTGCAGTTAGCTGCTGAGTTCCTACAAGCCAGTCTCCTGATATTAAGGAATTAATGGCACCAATACTCCGCTGAATGCAAGGCAATGCAAGTTCTGTTTGCAGCTACTGTTAATTTCATTTTAGAAAATTAATAAGAATGAATTGCACCGTTGACATTTATAGAGTTTGCTAATAAAATGATACATTGTTTGTGTGGAAGGATCCTTATTAAATTAATTGTTGTAATCAGCCCACATATAGATGTTGGTATAGGAACTACAGAGGGATCCACTGCTGTCTCTGAGGCTTGCTGGGGGCCCTAGGGATAAATATTGTCCTTGCTCATCCTAATTATAGAGAAGGCCCTGGAAGTCCCTTATACCTGTTCATAATGAGGTGTGTTTCAAAGATGCTCCCAGGGCTGGGACCTTGGGGTGGCAGTGTGGCCACCACAGGGCTGAATGAAGAATGCTCAAATGGCCCAAATGGTGCTATAGGCAGGTGGGATCTTAAGTCTGAAAGCTCAGCCTTGGGGAGATCTTTATTTGGCACTTGCTGTGTGCTCGGCAGGATCATAATATCGTTTGGAGACCACAGGGACTCTGCCCTCCCCACCCTGCCATGTGGATGTATGATCTTGGAATAGAGTCCTCCCTCTGTCTAGAATGCTATCCTAGCTTCTCCTTCAGGCCTTGGTCTGGGTGTCCCCTTTCTCTGTGAGGTCTTTTTCCAATACCACCCACACCTATCCAGAGAGGCCCGATCGCCTCTTCCTTGTGCTGTTTTTCAGAGCACTTTGTAGCATTTCCATTTTTCTATAGGTTAGTTATTTCTTATCTGGCTCCACCCATGTGCTAATGGGGGGATTTTCAGTTGGGTTTGATCTTGGGTGATCCAAATGCCTGGAACATTCTCTCCACGTACACTCGTGAGATGAACCGGAATGGGTAAAAACTGGGGATCAGAGTACCAGGAAGCAAGGGCCCTGGGTTTCCTCCATGTTGTTCTTTCTTGCACATCTTGCCTCAGGATTGGCCAGCCCACCAGCACTTCAACCTGTAGTACTTGCTATGGGTTAGCTGCTGTGTTTTATAATTTGTACCATGGGGGCTGAAGAGATGGCTCAGGTTAAGGGCACTTTCTGTTCTTCCATAGGATATAAATTTGGCTCCCAGCATCCACATTGGGTGACCCACAACCATCTGTAACTATATCTCCAAGGGGATCTGACATCCTCTTCTGGCCTTTGTGAGCACTCTTACACCATACACCACAACACACACACACACACACACACACACACACACACACACACACACACACACACACACAATCTTAAAATCTGTACCAAACTTCTGCCAGGCAGGGAAGGGCTGCAAGGCCACAGGATTTTCTGAGCTTACTGGCATAAGAGTTCCTTCATCTTCTCTGGACATGGCCTACGGTGACAAGGAGTAAGGAAGCAGCCTAGGAAGTCATTTCACTGTTTCTCAGCAGCAGCTGGGAGACAGAGGTGCCAGAAGCTCCTCCCTCTGTGGGCCAGTGTGGCTTGACTGTGCCAGCCAGGTGGGGCTCCAAAGCTTCCTTGGGCTGGGTTCCCCCATCCCTACCCTGAGGCCCAGGCAGGCAGGACCAGCATGGTGGAAACAGGTCCTGCACAGCATAGGGTGCAGAATATAGCCGAGTAGAGCATGATTTAGAAATCCTAATAACTTCTTTCCCATTCCCTGGGAAGCATACAACCTTCCCTGTGAGCCAGGATGGGTGAGGCTGAAGATCGAGGTGAGAGCCTTCTCCTAGGAATCCTGTTTATGCCGGTGAGAGGGGAGCTGCAAAATGCTATTAGTTACCTAATTAATTAATTGGATTGGTATAGATAGCACCTTCACACTGACATATTGGGGTCTAGTAATAGAATTTTCCTATAGTGAACACTAAACGCTCTTGGTGGCTAAGCAGTAAAACTGAGTAGGAGGAGGGAGGGCGGAGAGGAGAGAAATGGGCAGTGGGAAGATGAGGTGCTCTGGGCTCCTTTCACCCTTTCAGGTTTTCTAGGCCTCAGGTCCTGCTCTTCCACACCCCTAGTGATCGGTGGACATTTTGTCTTGGGTGAGCTTCCTCCTCTGTTCATCACTGACATAGATCCCCTTTCCAGGGTCTACTGGATGTCACGTTGTTATCTCGGCTGTCCTCTGCTGTAACACGAATCTTAAAAGGTCTTATAATAAAAAACAAAAACAAACCCGGAGCCAGTTATTGGGGTGAAAGCTGAGAGATCAAAGGAATAGAACAAGCCAAGCCACAAGTTCTTACCGCTAGGAAATCCTCAGCCCAAGAGATCTACTTCCTGTATACTCACGCCTATACACCTTTCTGTGCCCTGCCATCTCACTTCCTCTCTCCAGCCAGCTACATCACTTCCTCTTTCTGCCCAGCTCTATCACTTCCTGTCTATTTGTACAGACCTCCAGACCTCTAAGGTTAGTGCTGGGATTAAAGGCATGTGCCACCATGCCTGACTCTGTTCCCAGTGTGGCCTTGAACTCACAGAGATCCGGATGAATCTCTGCCTCCCGAATGTTAGGATTAAAGGCGTGTGCTACCACTGCCTGGCCTCTGTGTTTAATATAGTGGCTGGCTTTATCCTCTGATCTCTAGGCAAGCTTTATTTGTTAGAGTACAAATAAA